GGTGTGACTCTGTGCTGCGTTGCGTGCTTTCAATTGTTGGCAGTCTTTGTGCATTTGCTGGATCTGCGCATCTTTGGAAGCGGCATAGTCACGCCAATACGAGATGCATGCTGTCAGCTCATGGATGGTGATTGCGACGAGCCTTGCCATCAGGTCGTCGGGTCGGCCGTTTGCTGCAGTTCGGGGTACCTCCATGTTGACTTGATCTTGATTGTTTCGGTACCGTCACCTGGTTCCTCGTCTGGTCTGTGTGAACGGCGCTGCTCCAAGGAAGATAATGTCACTGAAGCTACTAAATAGTTTCTGGAAACATCTGGTTCCGCCGTTCTACTATACTTTTGGCGGGCACGAAGCTGCTGATGAGTTGAGGCGAGCATGTGTAGCCGTTGCCTGCTCTGGGTACAAGGAGTCACTTCTCACTTTTATCCAGCCCTCTTGCAGTTTCTAGACTTGGGAGAGCAATGTAGATGAGAGCAAACTGACGTCTCATGGCCTGAAAGAGGAAAACAGAGGGGAAGCGAGAAGTGCTTCCTGGCAGAACGAGTTCGACGAACCCTCCCCGCCTTCTGGCGCCCATGGAAGCAGATTGCCGCCGGAAGCTACTCCTCATTATGAAGCAAATTTAGATCTTTGCAGTACTCGATAAGATAGGATCAGAGTTATATCGCATGTGAGTGAGGTTATGACTACAATACAGTAAACATAAGCACGCTGGCCACTGGTTTCTGTTGGGCCGTGGCTCAGCTCGGCGATCGCCGGCCGATCGTGTTTACGGTATTCTCCTAAGCATCGAAGTTATCGAGACACGATCTAATCTGACCAACGAGGTGCCATTCCGCTATCAAAGAGACTATTCCGTGGTAATTTTGTTTGTCCAAGCATAATTATCGTGGGCTACTGTGGGTTAATTCATCCAGCTTGTGCATGTATGGTTCTCAGCGCCTGGACTATGCATTCTTTAAGACTTCCATGACAGTCTATAGCTCCTCACATCCAAAGCATACGAAGGCGCATCCTATACACTCTCCGGGAACCCTTCCCAAGACCTTTCTCCAAGTCACATGGGTCTTTATGTTGATTGGTCCACTGAATATCCACAGCCGTTCGGGTGTCACTCTAACCTGGTTGAGCTTTGAGTTGCCAGGGGAATCCCCCAAGACTTGAACAGCATAAAAGGACAGCCGTCGATCGGACTGCTGGACCTTGATCTGTTCTGTTCAGTTCTCCTTCTCGAAAAACTCCCAACGTGTTTCAGCTCTCCACAGATTCACTTCCAACCGCAACCCACCACGCCTACGAAAGTTGCCCACCCGATGGCGTGTCTCGGCCAGAAAACCCCAAATGCTTCTACCTTGGCTGACGAAATCAAGGCCATCGTCAAGGGAATATTCCCCTGACTGAAGTCGATATGTTAAGACCCTGACACGTTTACCTAGAAGAATGCTGATATTCGCCAGTCTCGCCCTCCAAGAAAGCCAAACCTCCTTGGTGGAAATTGCAAGGGCCGGCGCCTGCAGGGCTTACCCCTAAATTTATGAGTAGCGACTTTCCATAAGACAGCGGGGCGTCTACATCGTCTCCTCTATGTACAGCAATTTTCTCTTTGCATGTCGTTCAAGACTCCCAGGAATCACGTTCAAAACACGACTGCTACTAGATACAAGCGAAAGGACGAGGCATTCTGCGTGATGTGAGATCTTGGCGCTTGCCGATCAGTAGGGAAACATCGACACCTCTTCGTCGTTGGGGTCCAATGGCCTTTGTTGCCAAACACGTACTGTCAGACCCAAATGGAGGTCGATAAGCTAGTCCAGACAGCCGAGCTGTCATGTCAGAGTACAGTGCACGAACAACTTGTAGACAACATGTAGGGGAACAAAGCCTCGTTGACCACAGCTCGCCCCAGATCACCGTGTCCATGAATCCACTACAAGACATGACATACCATCATAGCGTCGCATAAAAGGATTTGGCGTATTTATAAGTATTCTGAACAGATGTATAGGAGCTCCTTTCTGCCTAACCACGGCAATCGAACCCATCCTCGATCTTAGAAACAATAAAGTTCCCCCAGTCATGTAGAGACCGGTCACACAATTGTCTCCACGCCTGAACCCCACCAAGATAAACCAGTGGCTCGACTCTCTTGTGAGGGACGTTCGCGCCGGTCCACCACGCGGTGCTATCGCGAAAGAGGGTTGACTCAAAAGCGTCCGTTACGAGACGTTTCCAAGATCGGCAAGACTCTTCCGCTGGCTCGATGGAATGTAGCTTATCCCGACGCATCCTCTCTAGGAGCCTCATCACCCAGTCAACCTGGAGCTCAATAAAAGGCGGCGCGTTGGTCT